CGCATCTGGTTATACGTTTAGGGCGGTGTGCTCGCAACGGGAGACATCTGCCAACATTCTAAGCTTTAAAGAACGTTCATGAAATAGACTCTCCAGTGGACAAGTCGACACAGGTATTTATTGCCGTTGTCTTTTGTTGATTGTATCAGTAGCTGCTTGTCTAGCGCCACCAACAGACTGTGTTGGTGCGGATCGTATTTCTAGTGTGGGTTGCGTCATTCGATATTTTCACTTTGTTCTTCCTATATATATGTATATATATATCTGACTTTTTTATTGATTTCCAATTCGAACTACTCTACTCCAATTAATTTGGTGAACTAGGTGACTGAACCGGCTCTTGCATTCCGTTTAAGCATTAATACTTCATCTGAAACACCGAGAGACCCGTCATACTCCTGTATATTTGAATAGGGCTCTCCGATGTCTGATCATATTCTCAAACTAAACGCGTTTCAATGCATGGCTTTGGAAACCGTTCAATTTTCTATAAAATAAAGAAACGATTTCCCTTGCAGACTTCAGTATTACATGGCAAACAATACATACACCACAACTGACTGTAGGTTCGGAGTGTATTCTTGCAATTAACAGAGGGGTTCGACTGTAGCTTATGGCTAGCGAGGATTTGCTATCTCTCTCCAACCTCTTACAAACTGTAACTACTTTTCTAAACGCACCGGGACGCTCTTCCCGGTAGTAGTATAGCGAGAATATGTCCATGACCTGTCTCACTGCAGTTCAGGACAATACCAGTCCCCTTTTCCCATATCAGTACACACCCATGGGTGAGTTAAACAGCAGATTCAAAAGGTCCGTGAGTGTGACTACACCCACAATCTGGCCATAATGGGTCGGAGGGTCTACGCCCTCGGTGATGAACGCTCTCCGTTTGCTTCGTTCGTATAGCAGCTCGATGATCTCTCTCAGTGATTGTGTGGGTTCTATCGTTAGTACATCCTGCAATGGGACAGGGACACAGGGTAAGCGAATGGTAGGTTGGTTAGTGTTGCAGCACTAGTCATTAGGTTTTCAGGGGTTTAGGGGTTTAGCACATCAGTTGTGATAAGAATACCAAGCACTCACTTCGAGAGTATATATCAATCGTTGCTGCGTTATGTAGCGACAAGACCGCAGTAATAAGCTTTGCGTGCACAATATCCTTGGGGACTCGATATACGTATACACATGTATTGATACACGGTTACATGCATGTATTCATTGTATTGATATACATATAAATGCGTGTATTGATATACATATAAATGCGTGTACTGATACAAGTATACATGTGTGTATTGATATACGTATACATGCCTGTGTTGAAATACATATACATGCATGTATTGATATACATATAAATGCGTGTATTGATAAACATACAAATGCATTTATTGATATACGTATATATGCATGTATTGATATACGTATATATACATGTATTGAAGTACGCATACATGCATATATTGGTATACGTATACATTCATGTTTTGGTATACATATACATGCATGTATTGGTATATATATACATGCCTGTGTTGGTATACGTATACATACCTGTGTTTTAGTACATGTGTATACTAATATATGTAAACATGCGTGTATGAATATATATAAGATATACACATATATAGCCATACAATCAATCACAAAACCCAATCTTACCTGCCATAACACACTACCAACTACTATAACTAACATATACATATGTATATAGCCATACTACACATTCCAAACCAATATCTAAGGTTATACACTTACATCCACACGTATAATTTTACCATACACCATAAACCTCCTAACTAAAACTAAATGTACCTGGTCTGTGATGACATCGGTAAGTCGGAACTCTGTCAGTCGGTTGGCCTGTTCCGATTCTAACGCTCGCATCTGGATAAAGGACAATTTGAAAGACGGATTTATATGCAGTTTTTCTGGGTAGATAATTTGAAAATAAACTTATATCGCACAATAATCACCTAAATATAAACATAAAACGTATTTGTATGGTGACATAGGATTATTAGGACCTTTTCATTTTCACTTCAAAATGACAGCTGTTTACAGCGGGATGTCTATTTTGAGCTTCCGCGAGAAGTCTATAGAAAATAATAGCGATACCAACAACGGACTAAATAGTAAGAGTATGTCTTCACATTTTGATACCAAGATGTATTGTTATTTACGACACTATCTGGATCCTTGAACGGAATAAATTCATCACTAAATAAAGTTTACTAAACACATACGCTATGCATATATATATATATATATATATATATATATGTGTGTGTGTGTATATTATAC